TTTAATTAATTATTTTGACTTTAAACTGATTTGATTTGTGAATGTTTATTATCGTTTTATTGTTCTTTTTAATTACTTGATCACCAATTGATTTCATTGTTATCGAGAGAGATGATATGGTTTATACACAATATAATGAGCATTGTAAGGTTCGATAGAGGATAAAGATATACCTCTATGGTTTATATGATTTCAATAGGTGTTCTAATATTTGTTAATGCATTTATCATGTTAACATCTCTTATCGAGAGATAGAATGGTCAAATGAGGGGAATAAATTTGATCGTTATAGAGACAGACTTTCAATTAAATTAGGAACATTGACCAACATGAATGATTTCAAATTGTCACTTTAATTGTTACACTAAAAATAGAATAATAAGGGAAATTCGATATTTTAGCAATACATCTCACATATGTAAAAAACACATTTACATACTTTCATTAGTTTAATTGATAATTTAGGTATTAGAGTAGAAAAATATCACAAAATTTGTTTGTTATTCGATCAAAGTTGCAATTAATTTTAAATCGGTCAAACATATAATTCTCGTAGGTTCGACACTCTATTCATCATTATATTACTTGATCACAATCCAATGCACTTGCGGATTTTTAAAGGATCATAATCCCAAGCCTGATTTTGCGAAAAATAATGCTGAATTTGCATTACCTCTCAAGTACCTAAGAATTCACCTATACTGCCTCCTACTGTTGTTTCATCCAATTCTCATATATCTATTCACAATTCCCACTGAATATGCTATGTTTGACCTCGTACATACCATGACATACATAAGACTTCCAGTAGTATAGGCATAAGGTAACTTGACCATGTAGCTCGCTCTCGCTCTGTAAAGGATAACTGCTCATTGGTTAGCCTAAAATGCCTAGCCAATAGAGTATTTATTTCATAATCCGTCATGAACCTAATTAGAAACTTATTCATATAATCTTCCTGTGACAATTTCAAGACGTCACCGTCCTTTATAACTCTATCCCAAGTATTTGATTTGCAACGCCCAAATTCTTCATTGCAAAACACCTAGGATAACTCCATTTTCAACTTGTATTCTTTTCGTTTGCAAGCACCGTATTCAACATGTCCTTAACATATAGCTGTAGTATAATATATGAGTTATCAATGTTCTTCACATAATAATATCGATCCACTCGACGCCTTTATGAAACCATTAATACCTATAAAACTATCAAAGTTCTTACACCACTATCTCGGAGCTTGTTTTAGACCATGCAATCTTTTATACCACTACCTATAGGAGTGATCAAAATTTTTTTGCCGACATAGCTAAAAAAACTCGATAAAATCGCATCTAGATCACCAATTTCCTGTCTAACCGATCATTTTACTTGATTTTTTCGATTTCGATATTACCGGATATCGGCTACAATCGAACCGATTGTCAGACCATTCATGATTTTAGACGAACCTGTCCAATTTTCAAAACACCATGAAATATAAATCTTGATGAGTCAATATGTCTATTCGAACATTTGAATTTAGACGGAGTTCTATATAATGCTTACTTTTATTTTGTTACAGCAGTTTGATAGAGCTCCTCTTATATTGTATTGGAGAATAACTTATGTAAACATTATTCATTTTGCTTATGTGACAAAAACTTTTAGCAATCAATTGAAGCATTGGAGATGCTCTAAAATTGGCACGACGCGACCACGAACTCCAAATTCCTATTTTTTAATAAGCTATCTTGATTCTAATTTGGTCCTAATCTAACAAGGTAGTATTATCTATAAAGAATTCTAATTGAGGTGGACTTAATCAAGTCAAATGCATACTACAATTCTATTTTCCCGTTTTAATCAAACTAGGATTACTTTCTCTATCTTGACTAGGGCTCTTCTCTGTATATATATATATACACCCTTTAACCCATCTCGAACATACATAATTATTTTACACCCTAATACTAACTTAGGCATCGACGGACTACAAAATCAATATTTCATGCCTTTGTTTCAGGTGATCTATGGGGCATCCATTGTTTACAAGATCTTCTTCAAGTGTAGCTATGTAATGTTGAAAGCACTACCTAAGTGAACCATTGAAATTGCGAGTCGGAACTAAACCATTTACAATATGCTACCCATTCCATCCATACATCCCTTAAGTTTGCTTACAAGTTTATATTAGAAATAACTATATGATGTGTAATCACATTTTAATCAATCTTACAATTTTTAAAAAATCTTAGTTGTCAATGTAATTGATCATATTTTTAAAGGCACAAATATAAAATGAATTATGTGATTGATCATATTTGTAACGACTCAACATCTGTACCCAAGCTGTTAACTATTATGTACTATCCGGTTTGGAAGAACATCTGTCGTCTTACCCCTCATGGCTTTATGTTGCATACTAGAATTTGAACCCAATACTACCTTATGAAAGATTTAAGTTGAATTCTGACACCAATTGAGCAATTTAAATATCTTATAATGCAGAGCTATTGAGATCAAATATTGAGGAATGCAACAGAAAGTCATAAGGGGTAAATGACTGATACCCCACCAAAGCGGACAATATGTAACAGCTAACGCTTAGGTACAAAATTGCATTTTTTTTAACGACTCAGACTTCTGTGCCTAAATCATTATAACATACGTATTGTTCGCTATGTGTGCCTGAGCGCAATTTTCCCTCATAATTTTTTGTTGCGTCCACGAGATTAAAATCTAAGATTTCTATCTTATAAGAGATTTAAATTAAATTGTAGTAATAATTAGACAAGTTGCTCAATTAATACCATGATTCAACTCTCTCATAAGACAAATGTCTTAGATTCGAATCACAGGGATGCAATAGAAAGCAGAAAAAAGGTCATATTGGCAGTGATTCTCCTTAAGTGGACAATACATATGATATAACGACTTGAGTACAAAGAATTTGATCTTTACAAAAAGCTCAATTGGAACCTAGATTTACGAGGTGTTGTGTTCGAATCTTGAAAGATACGACAAAAATTCATGAAGGATAAAATGGACTTAAGTTCTTTCAAAGAAGACAATATATATGATATAACGGCTTGAACATAGGGGCTCAGATAGTTACAATATTTTTATAGGTATAGTCAATTCGGAGAGGAATCCTATGCAAACAAGGACTAAAGACTACACGTAAATATTTGTTATTTGTACGTTTGAAATCCTTGAAATATGAGGAGTCCTTGTCTAGGATTTTGTACGGACAAAGGCAAACTTGTTCTCTAGAGGAGAGTGAACAATCATTAATCATATGAAATCTTTAAATACAAACGAAATAATAGTTTTAAAGTATTATCTCAAAAACATATAAATATGATTCTCTTCGACATTTTTCAAGTATTTGGACATTTTGATATTTTCATTTAGATGTAATATTATTTTTCTTAGTAACTTAAATACGAGAGTAGTTATTAATGGAGGCTACACTGTCTACTCTTGTGAATCTTTAAGAAAGTTATCAAGTTTAAGGCACGGAAAGAGTGGTACAGGCGAGACAACTTTAGCACTCATAGAGAGCCTTGATAGCAACAAGAGTTGCATGAATAGATCACCCTAGCAAGTGACCAGGGGAGGACGCAACCTTCTTAAACGGGGGGCCACAATCAAACTTTCAAAAAATGATGAAAAAATGAAAGTAAAAGATATTTTATTACAAATGTTCTCCATGTGTTTGCATATTTTGATAACGTTCCATAATTATTTTATTTTCAATCTTGTCAAATACATCTTTCTCAATATATGCAATCAAACTATCATTCAACCATTGATCTCCGATTCGATTGCGCG